CCCTTCCTTACTGTGACGCGAAATATATTAAAGGCTCATTTCAAACCCAGATCCCCGGCTTATAGAGCAAGCTCTCTAACCACTAATATATAAATATACCTGGTTTATTTGCACCATGAATCAGTGTTATTAACCAGGTTGCCAAAATCGGAAACTTAGTTCCATTTAAGTTAAGGGATAAAAAGCGCCTACTTTGTACCTTATTAAAATGTTAAGGCTTGCAACAAAGATTTCTTTAAAAGATGTTAGCAAATGATTTAAAAGTTTTGAAAATTATAAGCTACTTTCAATATTAAAAAAAAAAATTATGGAATACGATAAAAAGTTGAATTGTGTTAGTAACATAATGTTACCAAATAGAAATAGTTAATGTACTAACTTTATCAAATTAAACAATGCATTGGCAAAAATAATGTCGCAATTAAATACGCAAATAATAAACTTATTTCAAACAATTGTAGGCTAGACTGGGGTAATTCTATCCCCGGGGAAATTCCACCCTCTAAAAAGATATGGAGCAATACAGATAAACTAAAAAAACTTGAACCACTTTTAGCTCATGTTTTTGATTGCCAACTTTCTGCTTCTCACTAAGTATATGCTTCCTGTATCCATACTGATTTAGAAATTTGTTTATGAAACTTTTTTTGGAAATCCAAAATCATCTTCAATCTAAGTACCATATATGTACTTTAAAATACATTTTAAAATATATTTTTATCGATCATCATACTTTTATTAATCATCATTTATTTTTTGGATGTGTTTAATGTGTACAGAGATGATAAAATTTTTAATTTCACAATTTGAACCTTTGCTTGTAAATATCCTTAGGCAACATGTTAATTTAGTAGTATTAATATCTGTATATGGTATTAGATATATAATTATTCATAATTTCAACCAAGTAAGACAATTTTAGTCATGGGTCAAATCTCACACCTTTTCATGAAAAACTAGGGAAGCGGCAAATGGAGACGAGAGGAAAGGCCATAAAAAAACAGTGTGGTGAAAGCCTCACTTCAGATAAATGCATTGCTAGGTTCACTAAAGAAAATTAGGCTAAAACCAAGCCGAAAATAGTCTTCATTTCAGGTAAAGGGAAGGGAAAAGACATGAAAAAAACAACAATGAGTGATGCCGCAAACAAACCAATTTTATGCACAATGTGTGGGGTAAATGTGGATGACCCTAAAGTTTGCGATCTGAATGTTATGTATGACCTCCCCGCTAACACAAAACGTTCAAGTACGTTCGAATTTTTTATGAAAACGTGTAGAAATTACCCCTATTTTGTTTTATAAAAAAATATTAATATGTTTTTTTGTTAAAATTTTATATCAACAGTTTGCTTAAATATGTAAATAAAAGGAATTCTTTTACTATTCTCTTGTTTTTTATTTTATATAGTGGTTTTTAAGGATTTTTTAGAAGTAGTGGATGGATCCAGTATACCCTACCAAGCAACTTTGTTTGATATTATTTTATCCCTTTTGTATTACACTATATGTAACATCTAAAAAAACAAAAATAAAATGTTTAATTTAATTTGATTCACTTACAAGTTAAAAACCTTTTTTTAATTGAATATGGTTTGGGACTTTTATTATTACTTGATGTTAGAGCAAAGTAAAGTAAATGCAAATTTTATGCTTTAATATTTAATTTAATATTACATTACTTCCATGTGATTGTGCCCATCAAGACATCAGGGTTGCATACTTCAAAAGAAGCTTTTGAAAAATTGCATTAATTGACCCTTAAGCCTGAGATGAGGGTCAGTTTTATCTGTCCTTTATATGGTTGGCTGTTCTGCTTTGAACAAAACATCTTTTGTTTCGAAAAAAAAAAAAATTTAATAAAATAAAAACATAAATTAAAACATATTAAAATATAATTAAAATATACTTTTAATAAAATATAAAGCTATATAAAATTATATCTTTGTACAGACTTACATATAAATCAAAACTTACATATAAAAAAAATATATATATATATTTATATATACATATAAAGGGGTGATTGATCTTCCCTATATTTAAATATATGCACTTATTTAATAATGTATGTTGTTCTCCTTTCAAATTAAAATTTGTAAAAATAAAAACTTTTAAATCACATCATTGGTTACTAGTTTGAGCTTAAAAGCCATAAAAAAAATTGTAAACTAAATGTTTTACATATCTATCTGAACTCATAACTTCAAAACAAAGTAGAAGATCAACAGATAGTAAGTTTGTTTGGTTTAAAATTTGAACCTTGCTTGACATAAAGTATTGGATCATATCTGCAATTTGTATTTGGAACAGCAATCTATATTAAACAAAAAGTTGACCATTTTCAGGTGCTTGCTTGACTGAACTTTAAATGGTCTTAAATTACTTTATCACAATTGCTATTGGCGTTGAACTAAATTTCCATTTCCAAATTCATATACTTGTTTATAGTAAATGAACAACAACAGAACATAAATCTATACATACACTATTTTGCAAACTTTTTATTTTAAGCTTTGTTAAAAGTAGATTTGTTAACTTGCTATAAAACTGTATACTTTTTATAAACTTTTTTCCTGCCAATTTAGATGGGGAACATTGTAAAAATTGATCAAACCATGTTACGTAAAAAGATACACAAAAATATTATCGAAAACATGATGCATATTTTTCTTTAATTTGAAAATCTTTAGTTTTCTTGCACACAAAAACTTTAATACTTTTTGAAAAAAAATGTTCTTCAAAAATACACCAGAATTCAATATGGTATTTTCATTAGAATATACCCTGTGTATAACAGGTTGATTTTTAAATTGGCTAAAATATAAACCATCACCATAGCTTTAGAGATAGCAATTACAATTGTATAAACCTGGATAATTTAATGATATTATGATTTTATTATTTATGATATTATAGGTATTTTTATTGTTATTATTTTCATTATTATTACTGTTAATATAAAATAAATGTTGCTCCTATTGCTTTTATTTGTTGTTGTTGTTTGCATAAAGTTTCTTATCATAGTTGAAGTACTAAGATTAAAAAATAAAGATAAAACTCAAGAATGTGCTTGTTATAACTTTAGAAATAATTCCTTAGCCATCCTCACAAAATGACTAATAAACAAACCAACTACAGTAAACATGTTATGATTTAGTTTTCTTTATTATCAAAATATCTTAACAATCGCGGTTCACTTTGATATTATGATCACAAATAATATTCTAATATCATGATTTAAATATAAATTGTATAAAAACATTTGTATTATAGTATAAAATCATGTTTCACAAATTTTGTATTGGATAAAAACATTTTACCACGCATGACCAATAATTAAAAACCATTGCATAAAACAAATAATTTAACAATGCTTTTTGCATCTTAAATACTTAATTATTCGCCAAAAAATAAACATTACGTCACCTAACTTTACGCTATGGAATCATGTTTCTACCCCCTCTATGTTTATCTTTAAAATATTACATCCCCCTAAGTAATTCATAAAATTTTTCAAATAAGTAGTAACTGCTATCTTGAATATCACATTCAACTCTTGTAAATTATGTTTGTACCACAAAAAGAAACTAAAATTCTTACTTAAAATATCACATCTCCCCTATGTATACCTCTAAAATATTAGATCCCCCTAATTATTTTTCTACAATATTTCAAGCAATTCATATTTGATATTTAAAATATTACATTCATACAAAATTTCAAACGATTGGTATTTGGTACCTAGAATATCACATCCATCACTTTTAAGTTCTGTATGTACCACAAAAAGAAACTTAAATTCTTACTTAAAATGTCATATCCCCTCTATGTTTACCTTTGAAGTAATACATCCCATAAGTAATTCAAACAATATTTCAAACGATTAGAATTTAGTATCTAGAATATCACATCCCCTCGGTTTATTTGCTATATATGTCACAAAAAGAAACTGAAATTCTTACTAAAAGTATTACATCCCTTCTAAGTTTACCTTTAAAATATTACATCCCCTAAAGTATTTCATACAATATTTCAAACAATTAATATTTGCTATTTAAAATATCACATCCCCGCTATGTTTACCTTTAAATTATTACATCCCCCTAAGTAATTCATACAATATTTCAAACAATTAGTAATTGGTATCTAGAATATCACATCTCCTCGGTTTATTCACTGTATATGTCACAAAAAGAAACTTTAAATCTTTACTTAAAATATCACATCCCCCCTATGTTTATCTCTAAAATATTACATCCCCCTAAGTAATTCATAAAACATTTCAAATGGTTAGTATTTAGTGTTTAAAATATAAGATTTATCACTTGTAAGTTCTGTATGTACCACAAAAAGAAACTGAAGTTCTTACTTAAAATATCACATCCTCCCTATGTATACTTTTAAAATATTACATCCCCCTAAGTAATTCATACAATATTTCAATTGATTAGTATTTGATACCTAAAATATTACATCCCCCTGTAGATTCTATGTATATGTCACAAAAAGAAACTGAAATTCTTACTTAAAATATCACATCCCCTCTATGTTTACCTTTAAAATATTACATCCCCCTAAGTAATTCATACAATATTTCAAACGATTAGTATTTGGTATCTAGAATATCACATCCCCTCGGTTTATTTACTGTATATGTCACAAAAAGAAACTGAAATTCTTACTTAAAATATAACATCCCCCCGATGTCTACTTCTAAAATATTACATCCCCCTAAGTAGTTTATAAAGTATTTTAAACAATTAGTATTTGGTATATATAATATAACATCCACCACCTGTTATTTCTGTATATGTCACAAAAAGAAACTAGAATTCTTGCTTAAAATATCACATCCCCCCTATGCAGGCTTCTAAAATATTGCAAACGATTGTTATTTTTATTACATAAAGTATCCCTAATGTGTAATCTTTTTCTACGCTATTGTCACACAATACATTACGATCAAAATATTATAAATAAGAATTTAAAATATATTACCATTTTATGCTAACTTCATTTATAGTATATTAGTAAAAAAACGTTTTTATTAATTATATTGTTTATAATTAAATGTTTCGGACGTATTTGATACACTTCTAAGTGCAATGACTCGAAAGCGCGTTCTCGTTTTTATTTTTTCTATGGGGGATGTAATATTTTAGGCGGATGTGACATTTTATTACAGTTCTGTTCCAGAATCCAAAATAAAATATCGGCAAGCGGTCGTTTGTATAATTCAGAATAAGGTGCACTTAAAGTGCATGCGTGTCAACCGTCAAAAGTATTCTAGGTCTGCGATTTTTGTAAAATTCAAAATCTTATTTTGAATTATACGAAAGACCGTAAGCCTTCAAGAACTAAGCCTTATTTTTAAAAGAGGTTTTCAAATTCGGATTAAGCGATAAATTTTGTGTAAGAAATACACAAATTATTTTTTTTGAATTTTTTAGGAATTTTGAAGGGTCTAATACCTTAAGACTAGGACGCCTGATGGTTTCAATAAGTGGTGGAACTTTAATAGCTTCTACTGCGAAACCAAAGTGAATTTCTTTATTTGATACGGTTCTGTTAATGTTTAGTCGATTAACTGAAATTAATGGCTTAGCTTGATAAAATACTCAGCCAATTTTTATAATTTTTGTAACATACGGCAAAATTACAGATTCACGACAGGAAGGCCTGTAGTAAGTATCGCCATGATTTAAATATAAATTCCTAATTTTAACTTTTAATTTTTGTGAAAAAAATGGAAAGTCATTATTATAGTAGATTATCTAAGCGATATATGAAAAGTCTGGAAAATTGTTTTTTCATTATTATTTTTGTTTTTAATTTTTTAAAAAATTTATATGTGTTTTTGTTTAAGTGATGACTTAAAAAGCTTAAAAACAAATATAATGTGACTTATGCATATTTCGGACGTTTTTATCTTTGAAAAAAAAACAAGAGCATTTAGAACTTTAGAAATTTAACAATATTTTACATAATCTTGTAGATCTCGACAAGCTGCATTAAACTTACAATTAAAAAAAAAAGAGAACTATATTTTATTTATGAGTTCAATTAAAAAAACGTTACTAAAAAATTCGAAATACTAGGCAGTGCATTTTAGTTCGGATTCCATTAAAAACGTATGGAAAAAATCAAAGTTGCGAAAATAAAATGTTTTTTTTTATAGTAAAAAGTCACATGCTTTTAATGATCGGACTTTTTAATACAAAACCATTCATTTAATTTCGGATTTTTATTCACTAGATATCAGCTTACATTTGCATTCAAAAACATATATAAATTCAAATAGGAATTATATCTCATTAATAAAAATAAACAAGTACCACAAAATCATTTATTTTTAATTTGTAAATCACTATTCAACACCCCGTCTAATTATAGTTCCATTATGTACTTTAATATGTATAGATACTTAATATAAAGAAAATCTGAATTTACCAAAATTTTGCAAATTCAAAGTTTCAGCTTAACGGTATAGATTCAAAAAAAAAAAATTGAAATTTTATATTTGGATAACCAATAAAAAAAATCTAGAGAAAAAAAACTTATTGTAGACACTCATGGTCACGTATTTTTTGTTTGCAAGATTTACAAGTTTTATTGCAATTATACATTGAATGCGTATTATTTCAAAAATGATAATAGATAATATATATTATTTTTAATTATGAAAGACTATTGTTTCCCTAATATTAAAGAAAAAAATTTTTCAAAATTTTTAACTTTCAACGTTGAAATTTGATTTTTTAGTACGCATCCGAAATAACAATATGTACGAAATATGCATAAATCACGTTATTACATGAATAAATACTTTAACTTGTATGAATGTACTTTATATATAGCAGTAAAAATAAAAAAAATATCCGGAAAAACACAATATATGTAATAAAAATTGATGATGTAGTTTTTGCATGCTAAATTTTGTTGTCATTTTTGGAGATTATGAAAAAAAAAAAAAAACTCTTCACAATCTATATTTATCAAAAACTTAAACAATTACGTTTGAACACTTTTATATTGAAATTTATATTGTAATAAATATATATATTTAAAACTTTATAAAAGTGAAAATTATGCTACTTTTTTATTTTTTACAATAAATCATTCTTACCTGAAGCCGGTACATTATTTGGCGCAGGTGCTGATACAGACACTGGTGTATTAGTTAGCGCAGCTGAACAACGTTTAAAGTTAGTTATAAGCAAAAAACAAATTTTAAAAGCATTTATTAAATTTTTTTTAATATTTAAATGTTAAATAAATTTATTTAACATTTATTGAAAAATTCAAAGATACGTAAACATCGAGTTCAATTTATTACTATTACGATATATTTAATGTATTCAGAGTAGCCAGCCACATTTTACGATCGAATTCCCTGACTCTTCCCTGACTAGGATTATGAAAAAATGTGAATTTTTTAAAGAAAAATTATATAACACAATAATAGTAATATAATAATAAAAGCATAAAAAATTTATTTGAGAAAAGCATCACAGCATATCTACATTTCCATAGAAAAATCAGTTAAACTAAATTTTGAAATTTCCCCAGCTTTTGAAGGAAAAAGACAAAAGCCCTGATTTTTCTTGACCTGAAAAATTTCCCCTTACTTTTCCATGATTTCATTTATGTCATTCAGTGTTACTATAAAAGGTTCTTTTAAAATAACACTAATTAGTTATTCAGATAATATATATATATATATATATATATATATATATATGTATATATATATATATATATATATATATATATATATATATATATATATATATATATATGTGTGTGTATATATACACACACACCCATGTGTATGTATGTATGAATGTATATATATTTTTTATTTTTAATTCACCTCCTCAAGGCCGAGAAGGTCACTACAGACGAGGAGGCTAATTTTGTGGCTATAGAAATTTTATATTGCGTTTTTGCAATTATCAGAATTTTTATTGTTGTTGTTCTACAAAAAAAATGGGAACTTTATAGATATTGTCACAGAAACTCTAAAAAAACTCATACACAAAAGGTCATTGATTTTTGGGAAATTTAAACTTCTTTGGAATTCTGCGTAATATGGTGGGATTGCTAACACTCTGATATACACGTGTATGTTTATATATATATATATATATATATATATATATATATATATATATATATATATATATATATATATATATATATATATATATATATATTAGTATCAAAACAATTTTTACCATTAAAATTATATTAAAAAAAACCTGCAATAAAAATTTATGAAAAATAATAAAAGTGATCTCTGATTGTAGATAACTTTTTTTTTGAATTTAAATAAGTTGAACTTTAAATACCTGCCGCCTTTTGTTCCAATTGCCCAACGCGTTTTACTAAATAAGTTATAAAAAAATATATATTTAACATCGTTAATCAGTGATGTAATCTATAATAAATTAAAGTATATATCTAAAATAATTCAAATATAACTAAAAATAAATCCCTATACATTTCTCTTTGCTGTTCCACTAAAAAAACAAATCATAATAATTACAAAAAGAAAAAAGGAAAAAAAAAAATCAGGTTGACTGTTTTTAAATAAAATTTACATTGTCATTTTCCCAGCAAGCACATCAACGTTGAAATAACGTTGAAAAAAAGTTGAAATTTTAGGTTGAAAAACGGTTGATTTTTAGTTAAAATGGAAACACAAATCTACGTTGAAAACAAACGTTAGATCAACGTTGAAAACAAACCATAAATCAACGTTAGATTAACGTTGATTTAGCGTTGATTCAACCAACTTATATTCTACTTTATGAACCTTAAAAAAATAGCTGCTTTTTGTACCGTGACTAATTTAACCCGCAAAACATTTATTTTTTGTGCAATATAGTGTTGTTGTGAGTAGTCAACTCGCAATAACACCAATGCATTGTCCTGATAATAAATAGCATGTGTGAAGAATCATTACATGTGCTCATACCAAAGCCCAATACATCAATCATACCAAAGCCCATACCATACCAATAACATACCCATAGCCCATACCATACCAATATTGTGCAAGCGCAGAAAACTAAACTATAAATAAAACCACTACGATAACTAAGACATTTTTAAAACAAAATATGATACAAAATTGAAATTATTTTTAAAACGATCTTGATAAAATATCGTCGTTTTCTTCATCGCAAATATAAGCATCGGCATCTTTATAAACTTCTGTTTCATTTTGATTTGATGCCCGTTTCCCACCGTCCAATCGATATGGTGCAAACGTCAAACAATCTGCAATATATGTTCGAGCATCGTGTTTTTTTATTTTAAAAGACCGGGTAACTGCATCTAAATAAAAACATCTTTAAAGTAAGATTTTGTAATTTACAAGCATTAGTTTACTTCACATAGTTCATATATCTGACTGTATATTATAACCGGTACACCGATTATATATATATATATATATATATATATATATATATATATATATATATATATATATATATATATATATATATATATATATATATATATATATATATATATATAGGTGGGAGCAGCGGAAAGACATATAATATACATACCAATAACACCTCTATAAATATTTAAAGTTTGAAAACCAATCTTTTTTGTTTGTTTTGTATTAGATCCAGTCAAATTAAACTTTGCTTGCAGTTTATTTGCCATTAACCTGTAAAGAAATAACAAATAATTTAAAAAAAATTACGTTAAAAATATCTCAAACTAAAAATAAACTAAATTAATGAAATCATCGCAAAATTATGCAATAAACAACAATGGATATCTTAATTAGGATCTGAAAAATTAGACAACTTAGTGGTTAGAGTTAATAGAATAACCAATCTAGACTAGTCAATATACATGTGATTTGATACTGAACAGGTATATTGAAACATACCTGTTTAAAACATTTGCTACACATTTCTTTGCACTGCTTCCACCAAGTCTAGAAAGTTCTTTCACCTGTAATTGAAAAGTAATTTTACAAGTTACAAAATATATTGTACACTTTAG